CTAGACCTTCCACACAGTGGTATGCGAGTCCAGCATGACACTCAGCGGAGTCCCGATCGCGACGGACCTCCCCCTCAAGGACTCGGAAAGCATCGCGAGTCACCGGACAACAATCGACCAAGTCGTCGTCGTCCGCCGCCGACTCTTCTCGACGAGAATGGTGGTATCCACTATCACGTGAAACGTCTTGTAGATCGACGTCGTCGCCAGGGCCAAACCCAGTATCTTGCGAAGTGGCGGGGACCTTTCGTCCGCGAGAACTCGTTGGAGTTTGAGGTGCCGCTTTGGCAAGACTGCCCAGACGTCGTGGACGCTTATGTTCAGAGGGTTCATGCCGTTCCGCGTCGTCGTAAGCCCCGCTCTTCTCGGCAATAGCCAGGGAAGCCAAAGGGTCATGAGCTGAGCTCAAACTATGACCTTGAGTTGCTGCGGTCCTGTGTGAGAGACCACAGAGCTCGTGGGAGTGCGAGGGATCAACCCATACATCGCAGGGCTGGCAAACTCAAATCGAAGATGGCGTTCCACACGCGCGTCCACCTCCCTGTGGCACAACTGTAAGCTGACAGCGATGAAAGTTTCCGGTGCCGCTGCACCCGTCACTTAAATCGCTCTTCATCATCTGCAGCGATCAGCCAGGGGCGAGCACCAAAGGTAGCGTCGGCATCGCGGGTACAGGAGCGCCTCATCTTTGAGCTCGAAGTTGAGTGCAGTACGTATCTATCTGAATTTCTCGAGGTACCAAGAAGCGAGCTCGGAGTTTGCAAGCTCAGCTTGTGTAGTGGTCGGGGGTTTGACCACGTAGATGCCCAAGATCGAGTGATCGCGTCCTTCGCTTCGGCAGCGGGATCCGCCGAGCGGAAGTCGTATTCCACACGAGGATCAAGGACCGACCGTGGATGCGCGTGCATGAGAGCCGTCCTGCGGGCAGCATTCAGCTGCTGCTTCTGTGCCTCGTCGAGTTAACTGGTAATGAAACCATGTCCCCCGGAAGTCGAGACTTCGGGGAACGGACACGGCGTCCGTAAGGCTCGAGCAGGGCTCACGTCACGCCGCTGGAGCACCTCGGCCTCTTCTTCTTATCCTGAGAATGGAGTATCCGACTCGTAGTCGACTTCTTCCTAATTCTCGACGAGGTAATCCCTCGCCCGTGGCGAGCGCGGTGCGTTGTCCGAAGTTGCACCGCGTGCAGGGACGAAGAAGGGCTCTGCCCGCGGGCGTGTTCTCAAAACTAGCGAGGCTGTGTGTCTTTCGTGTCCTCGACACAGAGACTATTGAGCAGAAAAATGAAAGAAGGTCCAGGTGATGTTGTGGTGTCTAGACACGCGAGCCTCGTTTGAGGCGAGTTAAATGTGAATTGTATGTGTTTACTATTGATGGGGGAGAGAGGAACGGGGTTTTACGTGCCCCGGTACGAAGGGTGTGTATCACACAAGTTCACGCAACGGTGTGGGTTAAACAATATGGTGTGGCTACACTCAAACAAGAAGTCAGTACGCGGCTGGAACAGCCAGTAGCTTTGCATTTAATTAGGTTTTGCTATATTGATAGGAAAACCTATAGATTTAGATATAGGCGGCTTTGCCGCATATAAAACCGACAAATAAAGATAACATTTGAAACGGAAAAGTTAACTGGCCTTGGGTTGAGATTGTCGTTATCCTTAAAGTAAGCGGATTGCAATCCGCTAAACCCGTACTGGTTCTAAGTATATAACGAAGGTTGCCGACCTTAACTAAGCTCCCTCTAAGCGAATGAGATGCGGCAGCCCCCTGCAATTTTCCTTAATATATTATAACGTTCTTTGCTAAATTTGCTCGACACCAAACCCAAACGTCGACAATTTCCATCCAGAGTCGGATGGGCGCCGGGTCAATGTCTTCCTCAAAACGTTTTGCGTAGCAATGCCACGTCTTTCAGTATGTGGGTCAATTTCTTGTTAAATTTACGAAGAACAATCTAGTGCATGTGTCCTCAAGCTTGATTCAATTTTAAGTAGACGTTAAACGCTATCCGTGTGTGCTCTCACCGCGATTGATGGCTTCTGGAGGTCAAAATTAAATTAGGAAGTACCTATGCCGATGCGAGGTGAATCAACTTCAACACGCAGCCAAATAATGCCCATTTCCCTCGGAATGATACAGCAGATGACTCGCTCTTTCAACAAAAATCATGGATCTTGACGTTGACTCCAACATAACCGATGAAAGCTGCAGATTCACATTTATCAATCCAGTTACATGATGTATCGATTGATCAAAATACAATCAATGTGCTATCCACTACAATATTTTCTTCTTTGAAGTCGCCGAAGGCATCAGAGTTGAAATTGATGCAGTGCCAAACTTACTAATGATGTTGCCAATTGAAGATGAACCGATTGGAGCACTCATAAAAAACGTCTTAGTATCGTTCGTTTAATTCGTGAAGTGCTGAAACGGTAGATCAGTTAGGATGTGTCCGCTGAGTACATGTTCTATTGGCGAGGACTTTTGTCATTATCGCGATCGAGAAAGTATACTACCGTACCTACTTCATATAGTGGAAAACAACTTTTCGGTCCTAACCACTCGCTCTCAATTTACTTCCAATGATGCACCAACTACGATTCTGGTACTTTCCCATCCCGCGCTACTTCCATGTTCATGCAACCTCAACTTTTGGTAGCAGAGTTGGTATTACTTACGTCATCAACATCTTTTTTGTATACGCCAGCAGATCTAGCGCAAGTAGAAGCAACCCATGGCCGAGATGAGCATTATGTCTTTAATGACCAGCTCAAGTTGACATATCCTGCTTGACCTGGCACGCGATGGTTTATCAAGGGCTCACGCATCATCATACTCGTGGAGTATTGAGCATAAATTTTGAAGCTTACGAAATCTAAAGATGAAAAGTGGAGCCGCCCATGCTTTTTCGATTTCTAAAGCTGCAGTTGACGTAATTGCGACAGAGGTAATTGACAATTGACAGCGATTGAAGGGAAAAAGGCACATCCTTTTCAACTTAAAAATGCGTAAGTCAAATCAAAAGCCAGAATTCTTGCCAAGGTTTACGGTTTCTAAATCAAAATCTGAAGAGATTTCTTACAGACCAATGTCACTTTATTCCCGTTTTTTTAAAGCGAGACTAAAATAGAAAAGCACGATACAATCATTTAGAGTGCTGTTGAAAAGCTCATTACACGCTGCAGAAAGTCTCAGCTAAGCGAGAATAATCTAACATCACCTTTTCAATGAGTTATCCCCCCTACAATAATGATAGAGCTGTAAAAACGAAGCCTATAGAATTGGTGGAATTTGTTTAACAGCAACAATCTCAGATATCTGTCAGCTGGATCAGCTCGAAGGCTTCGGAATACCTGTTCGCAGCATCACAAATCGAATTGTCGATTTGAAAGAATCTCATTTCAAATCTACACCTGTTTGTAGCTCCTCAATTTGGTAGCTTCTTTGTGTTAGATTCAACACCAGAAATTTGAATTTATCGAACATTCTCGATAGCCATAACAAACATTCGAAGCAATCGTGGAGCTGTCTCGTCTCATACGCTGATGTCCCACCCTTCAAAAATCCACATCGTCGTGACATCGGAACCGCTCATTATGATAACTTCAATCCTACAAATCGAAAGCGTGTGGTCATGGTGCCATTTCTATATATCAACATCGAAGTAATCATTCTGTATTTCTACGAGCATCAAAATCTCGCGTGCGGCGATGGGTTGGGAATACAAAAAAGATGTAGATGACGTGAATATTATCTTCCTCTGCGTTATTTTTTTTCACTATGGGATAGATAGCATGTGATGTGAACGGCGCGAATACCGTAGTGGTTACGGCCGAACAGTTGTTGTCCACAATCTAGAGAAGAAATGTGCGTCATGAAAATCGCTTGACAATCTATTTCAAGGGCTCAGGTATTCTTCAGGAGCACCTTCCCAGGCTGAATGGCACCAAATTTCGAGACAGAGACTCCAACATCCTTTTGTTTGTCACGGTCTCATTGACGTTTCTCAAAGATGTACGAGCTTACCACAAATCACAACTGCGCTCATTCATTGAGTTTGATCATAGGAGGAGAATTTTCCGGTCAGCGTGTTAGAAAAGCTGTCGTTGATTGTATACCTCTCTTTTTCGCGATGCTGGATGCTGGCAGAGCAATTGCTTATACAGCCCAGTCAAATTAGCAGGTCCATCAATCTCACATCCTTCTTGGTTGTGATCCTTTGTTGAAAAAGTGACAGTAGATCAATGAATAGCAATTAAGCTGGCTCTTACTGCGCTGTATGATGGCACACTTCTTTACCTTGCCCTAAATCATGTGTCTTTGCCGACTTTTTTTTTTCACGCTGTGATTATGGCTTTTCGATAAGAGCGTCATCATTCAAATTGATAGTGGACACATTGCATGTTGGACCAAAAAAGGCACGAGTACTTTTCTTACCACCAAATTCATCAACATTGAAAAATAACGAAGGTAGCCACGCGCTATATCTTGCGCTCAACGCATGCTACGCGTGCACAAACAAAGTTAGGAAGAAGGTTCTAAGATGCTTAAAGGTCAAATGTTCCGTGATTATGGTTCGTATATGGCGAAATGTCCAGTCACCCTCATTATATTGTCCTGTCTTTAACAGCTTAGCCGTCAGATTCAATGAAAAGCACAAGTCTAGAGGCACGTCCGTAAAATGCTGTCATACTTTACCAAGAGCTCCGATGGCTTTTGTTGTACATAATATTACGAATACATGTAGCTAAAGTGGCGCAAATCCACTCGGTGCAATGGGCTTTCCATGTAATTGATTTTTTGCTGTATATAGAATATGTCCATTAATTCGAGTTGGTGAAAAAGTGCAGGCCATTCGTAAGCGAATTAAAAAAAGAAATCCGTCAGGTTCCGATCAGTTATACAATACGATTATGACGGTGCGAAACTTGTAGTTTTGATCACCGACTATCACACATTTTTCAATCTTCGGTCTTGAAAGAGGACAAACGACGTATGGTGCTTTCAAGTCTTTTCGTAGTGATGTTCGCACTTTGGACGGCAATGGTGTCACCTGTTGTAGCACTTTTCTCAATGTTTTCACGAATATTCACTCATCGTCGGGTAAGTCATCGAGCTAAAGCGTTTGAAAAATGCAAAGACTATAAAAAGACAAGAAGTGATTGTCCACTAGACCGTGCTTCATGGTTCTCGCGATTTTCTTACCATTGGATCTCGCCTTTCATTGCGTTGGGAAAGAAACGCCGATTTGAGATCGAAGATGTCCCAGATCTTTCTTTGCGTGATACTACATCTGTCGCTGCTGCGAGGTTTGACGAGGAGCTACTAAAAGAATTTCATCACTATCGTCCATCCTTTCTACAGGTTGCTCGGCGATTATACGGAGCTGACGTCGTGATTTTTGCTCTTTGGTCAACAGCCAATAAGGCGATTGGACTCGCTAGTCCATTGTTGCTCAAATTTTTTTTAGATTGGGCCGACTCATCGAGGCCGTCATTATATACGGGTTATTGTCTCGCAGCGGCAATGATAGCAAGGTCAGTCATCTCCACCTTGTCGGCAACACAATACGAATTAGCATGGAAGCGATTCGATCTACGAGTACGAGCTGGACTTGTGTCCGCTATCTATGCTCGAACTCTTCAGTTGTCGGGACGAGAAAAACGCGACGCAGGAGGTCTAGGTCGCATCACAAACCTCATTTCAGTTGATGTAAATTGCATTGTTGGCATGCCTAGTACTTTATTCGACATGATTCTTATCCCAGTCGAGATTATCGTTGCTCTCGTTCTACTAAGCAAAGCTGTCTCGGTTGCTTCCATTGCAGGTGTCGCAGTGCTAGTAATAATGGTCCCACTCATTTCATATTTAGGACGTCAGATTAAGCGTGCCACGACCGATATGATGCACTTTCGCGACGAACGCGTAGGTCTCACGGCTGAAACCCTTCATGCAATTCGAACGCTAAAATTACTTGGATGGGTATCCATGCGACTCAAAGCGATTAACCGATGTCGGAAGCGCGAAATGGACAGACTTCAAGTACGCAAGTATTTGGATGCCTTTTGTGTCTTCTTTTGGGCATCCACACCAGTGATTGTTCAGGTCGCCGTCTTTGTCGCTGCAGTCTTCTCGGGACGCAATATTTCGGCTGCCGATGCGTTCACAGCAATTGCATTGCTAGACCGACTGATTTACCCTATGAATTATCTCCCATGGATTATCAATAGTTTTCTTGAAGCGAGAGTATCAGCGTTACGAATCCGCGCATTTCTTTTTGATCGAGAAGACGCACAGTCGAGCTTCAAGGATCAAGAACCTTCGTCTTATCGCAGCTTACAAAGCACTGACATTCTGACGATATGTGATTCAGCCTTTAGATGGGATTGCACAAGAGAGAAGGCAAGTGACGATGACAGTACAGACACGGACGAGACGCTTTTATTGATCGACGATTCGCCTGCACAATCCGCTAGCTCTCAATTTGTCCTACACATTAACAACCTGCATATACGACCTGGTTCAACATATGTAGTGTGTGGACCGGTCGGTGCTGGCAAATCTTCACTTTTGCTGGCACTTCTTGGAGAGATGCCCAATGAGTCGGCCACTACTTTTGCTCAGCAAAGATATTTACGTTTTTCCTATTCTCCGCAGACTCCATGGCTCTTTCGTGGAAGTGTCCAGCAAAACATTACAATGTGCAACGAAGACGATGAAGGGCTTGAACAAGCTGGAAAAAGTATCGATCATGCCCGATATGAGCGAGTTTTACGTGCTTGTGAACTTGACGTTGACTTGTGTAGGATGAAACGACCATTTGACGTTGCAGAGAATGGCAGTAACTTCAGTGGCGGCCAACGCGCTCGACTGAATCTTGCACGCGCGTTATACCAACGTGCAGACATTTACCTTTTGGATGACCCATTTAGCGGATTGGACGTTACGACTGCAAGCAAAGTGGTCGCAAACTGTTTCAAGCCGAAGTCTAGTATCTTTCCCGATGATGCTGCGGTCGTTGTTGTGACCCACTCGCTTCATCTTTTGCCTCTATTTCCAGCTAATACCCAAATCGTTGTCATGGATGATGGTCGAATTTTCGAGCAAGGTACTTATCACACTTTGAAAGCGAAAGAACCTCCTGGTCGCTTCATGAAGTTGCAACGCAGCACCTTGAATAATACAGACACAATACAATTAGACGAGGTAGTGGAAGCAGTAGACGATCGGACGGAAGCTGCAGTAAATTCAGAATCGAAGGCCGAATGTCAATCAGTCTCTGGTGACGAATTGGAACACCGAGAATCGGGTGCAGTGAGTTGGCACGTCTGGAAAGCTTACGCAATGGACGTCGGCACGGCCCTTTCGATCAGTATCTTTCTAACTGTCGTGGCAATGCAGCTTTCTCGAAATTCATTAGACTACTGGATTGCAGTGTACACTAATGACCAGCATTCTATCACCCCGCAAGGCTTCGCATGGATTTTGTTGTCCATTGCAGGAGCAAATGTCATTGCCGTCTTGTTCCGCTCTTTCCTTTTTGCCTATGGTGGTCTGCGCGCAGCTCGAGCCACGTACAAAAAATTGGTCCACAGCGTATTTGCAGCTCCACTTCAATTCTTCGAACGCACACCCACCGGTCGTGTGCTTAATCGATTAAGTGGCGACACGTTTACAGTTGATGAGTGGCTATCGTTTATGCTGAATATCTTCCTTCGTGATGCATCGGAATTGGTGGGCTCACTTGCCATTCTCTTTTACGGAAACCATTTGGTGGTTGTACTGCTCATACCTCTCAGCTTCATTTATTATTACTTGCAGCGTGACTATCGTCCAAGTTCTCGTCACCTCGGAAGACTGGGTGCCGCTACCCATTCGCCACTTCTAACCATGTTTACCGACACGTTGGAAGGACTTCCTGTGATCCGTGCTGCCAGGAAACAACAGCAGTATATCGATGAATATAGAGTGCGACTGAATCGTAGTCAGCGTGTCGCGTTTCTGAATTCAATGACCAGTGCGTGGTTTGGATTGCGTTTGGATCTATTGGGAGTGTGCATTACCTCATTTGTTGCTTTGTTCGCCGTGGCCAGCTACAATTTGACTGGCAACGTAAACCCAGGAATTCTCGGTCTTACACTAACGCACGCGCTCCCAATTGTGGGAAAGTTGAATGCGCTTCTGAATGGTTTCATCGACTCGGAACGTCAAATGATTGCGGTTGAGCGTGTCAAGGAATATACGGATTTGGAGTCGGAGGAAGGTCCAGTTGATACAGCGGACCTCACCAAAAGTATCGGGATGTGGCCTACAGCCGGTCACATTGCAATTAATGAGCTTAGTGTGTTGTATGGTCCAACTACTCAACGCACTGATAAACTCGATGGTCCTGAATGCATAGAAGTCTCAACCCTGGCTCTGAAGAGCATTAGTTGTGATATTCCTGCGGGTCAGAAGATTGGAATCTGTGGCCGTACAGGTGCTGGCAAGTCGACTTTGCTTAACGCTCTCTTTCGAGCTGTCCCATGGCGACAAAGTGGCTGCATCACGATCGACGATGTGCCATTGGATTCTCTGAGCCTTGAAGAACTGCGGTCACGTTTAACATATATACCTCAAGACGTAGTGCTTTTCTCGGGAACGGTGCGGTCAAATCTTGATCCAAGTGGAGTGCTAGATGACGAGCGACTTTGGACAGCACTGCGCAAGTGTGGCGAGATAGCGAAAGTGGTTGCCAAGCTTAACTGCGGTTTGGATTCTGTTGTCAACGGAGAAGAAGCGACAATGTTTAGTCAAGGACAAGCTCAACTTCTTTGCATAGCTCGAGCTTTATTGCGTCCATCGCAAGTCTTGTGTATTGATGAAGCCACAGCGTCGATTGATCATGAGACGGAGCAAGCAATTTCACAGGTGCGTTGATGTATTTGTGCAGCATTGTTGAATGTTTATTTTAACTTTTAGTTTTTTCATAACGTAGGCTATTGCTTCCGAGTTTGCATCGTCCACTATACTCACAGTAGCTCACCGTATCCAAACTATCATGCATTGCGACCGCGTACTGGTACTGGACAATGGCCAAATTGCTGAAAGCGGCAATCCAAAAGAGTTGTTGATGAACTCGCAGTCGCTATTTTATCGGTTGGCAAAGTCGTCTACAAGCGACACTGCGGTGCTCTAATATCATATTTACATACAATACGTTTTCAAACACCAATTTTACAATTGTTAATTAATAAGCAACATACAATTCGAATGTCAATAAAAGAGATGGCCAGAAAAAATTTAAGCGAGCCAAAGTGTTTCTCCATGAGAAGTACAAGTAAGTTGACTACGATATCAATTCCCTGGTTTAGATTTGCCCAAACTTAGAGCCTGACGATTTTACATATTAGAGCCAACAATGCGCATAGCCTCAAAACATCAGCAATCATCAATAATGCAACAGTATGATAGTTGGGTATGCAAGACTAGCATGAAAAATGAAAAATAGACGAAACGACTTACTGCTAAGCAAAATGCCAGCAGCGACCTGGTACTTTTCTCTTGAGGACACAATGTCGTCTCCATTCATATCGTTGAGCTAGAGACACTAGAGCGTAATCGTTTTCGTACTTTAACAGTAGTAACACGAAAGCAACCATGCTCTATCTCCAAAGTGCAATACAAGCTTCCAAAGTAGGGATCCCATTTGACATTTGCACATAAATGTATCGAACGTGCATCCTGTTATTGCACGTTTTGGTTGGAGGATTGGCCCTACGAATTTTAAGTACAATAGTATTTAATTCCCTTACTTTTGAGATCAGCACCATTTTCAACCATTTTGCTTGAAGGTTGGTTGTGTAGTGTATATAAGTGCATTTAGTGTAGATCATAAGGAGGACGTAGGAAAGCGTTGGCTCGGCCGATCGACATATTTGACATGCCTGATTGCATTTTACGGAGCGAAGTCGACCATAATGTAATATTCGGCATTAAGGATAAAGATAGGTCTGTATGTCGGCAAAGGTACATTGCCAATCTACCCAATGTTGATACAAGGGAGGTCTCGAGAGGCAATGAACTTTTGTGCTAATCCCTTACACATTTGATCAAATGCATGGAAGTCAGTGAGCACAAGTGTATGAGGTTCAGGTTGCACTTTACTTGTAAATATTGATATATAACCGAGTATCGGAATTTACAGAGATGATTAAACTTCATAAAGGAGGTTCCGTGGTGGACATGAGCTGTGAGTAAATCTCGACAGTTTCGGAAACGCTTACATTAGGTGTAAGACTAATTTGTATTATTTCTTTATGTACGTACTATTGATATAGCAACGCTTACCAGACACCCAGTTATGAAGGAAGCTTTGGACCCCACAACGGTAGGAGCCTTCAATCTATGTGCGTTTATAAACGCAGCCCCATGATTTAAAGCTTCCTTGTGGATAGTGTACGGTAACCCCGTTACATTTAATTGCACTTGTAGTAAATTGCATGTCTGAGGCGTGAAAGTACTGTAATCCTTGAGAATGAAACATGAAATGTTCGATTACTTGCCTCCAGGATAGCTTGACCAGGAAAGTAAGCTACTCAGTGAGGGCGTCTCGAACGGTTAGCCCGTAAAAAACGAAAATGTAAGCTAGGCTACGAACGAAAGACAATATCGCTTTAAAAGGTCTCTATCATCTTAATACCATCACTATAGCTTGATGTCATAATTCGTAATCTCGTGGTTGAATTATTGACACAAAAACGGGTCAAGTAACATCCCATTACACCTTTTTGCTTGCTACGACTTTTCTTTACCAACAGACTCATCAACACACCCCAAGGCATGAATTAAGAGAATTAAGATCAATTCGAAAGACTGCTTTTGCCAACAATATTTTGGTGGCTGTCTGCCTCAGCATCCACTTGTTACCTACTATCCGGTAATTTGAAAAGCTATAGGCGAGCCGACATCAGTTGAAAATCTTCTAAAAATACTGTGGGTAATCCGCTTATACTGATACAGATAACATTGCAATGCTAAAATTGAGAAGGAATCCATCTTGTCAGCTAAAGGAGTCATGAATGCTTCAACAACAGCTGGATGCTCCTTATTAGTCCAATATATATCCAATTGGCCGATGATGAGTCGCTGCGCGATGGGAGAGTGAGGAATTAGCAAGTACGGAATTACATAATCCACTAGCGAGACCTTTCCAAAATATCCCGAATCTAAAAGCTGTTTTAATCCATACGTGTCCATCGTTCCGTCACTTCTTTTTTCAGCAGTGAGATCACAATAATATATGTATGCTGGCAGCTTATCTTCGAGGTGCTCGAAACGAAATGGACCCTTTCCCAGCACATATTTTCGTATACAACCAGCATTCGAGAGCTTTAAATCTCTTTGAGGCAGGAATTGTTTCCAACGCTCGAGAGGAACAATCCTATTCAATTTGGGTTTGTCGAGAGCAATCACGGTCCGTATAGAAGCAAATACTTTCGCCTCCATCACGTAAAGAGGTAGCCATGATGCGGTTTGGTCTAGTTGAGGACCAAAACTTTTAAAGAGGCCAAAGTAATCAACAAGCAATTTGATATTTTCTTGCTCTAGTATTCCGTGTTTCCCCTTGAGATATTGCTCGACAGAAGCTACCGAGACCTTTAGCTGCCACATCTTGACCATGAAACGATCGCGAAGTTGATTTCCTATCTTTCTGATCAGATCAATATTGCTGTTCATCCCACGCGTGAAAATATGCACCAGTTCATTTTGAAAACCAGTGTTCACGCATAAATCAACAATCTCTACTATTTCAGGCAAGTCGTTGTTACTACCAGTCGCGCCAGAATTTACTTCATAAAACGAGTTCGTTTCAGGTTTAGCCATTATAGAGGCAGCCTTTTCCGTGATCAGATTGTGTAATGTTCCATGCAACACATATTTGAGTTGACCTTGAAGTATTGTATCACTCTTTGACGTACTTGCCATCACATTCAAAGTGCTGGGCTGAACATGAATTTGTCTCGCAGCATCTATCGTACTGATTTCCACCAATAGAGCCTCGTTTACTATATCGTGCATCGTTTGAGACGGCATATTTCTCGCGATTCCCATAGGGAATGCACTCAATCGCATTCTTTCATCGCCCTCTTCGACCTTTTCTGTTGGCTCCTTCACTGCCAGCAATGCGTTCGTTTCCATGCCACCCACCTCCTGCATTGGATGAGGATCAGCTTGGACGGACGAATTCACCAAATTTAATGCTGAGTCAACTAGAGCGCGATTTGCGATGAAGCTAACAAGGAGAATGACGTTCATCGCCACTACGCAGCTTTTTGTTTGCTCTTAACAGATGTATGATGATGTTAGGTTTGGATACACATATTGAGTATGTACCATATTGGTGAATATGGATATATATTCAAACACACTGACAAAAAAATTTCGTACTAGCAGATTCAAGTATTAGTACCGGACCCAAGCACAAAAATCCAGACAAATAGCGTCGCAAATTGAATATAAATCCAGAAATTTACTAATGATGTTAGATACCTCCGACACAAGTTCGCTACAGCGAGTTTGGGTTAATAATAAATGGTAGACGTTTGGCCTGAAAACGTAATTCCTTAGGATATGAAAAGGAATAAATTTAAACTGCTGAAATGAGGCAGTTCGAATTATGTCTTAGGAACTGCTTCCTATTCTTCAATCACAACTTCAATTCTGATCAAGAGACTCATATAGAACGTTCGTATATATTCAATTGACCAGCCCATGTGTCTCACGGGCCTCTCCTCTTGCACTATTTAGATGTTGTTGCGTTCACGAAATAACGCACCTTTCAAGAAAGGGGCAGGTCGCACAAGATTGTGCGACCGTACATGGGTGTATATTACACAAGTTAGTGTGATATCACTACACCGTAACAAGTGGATTACCAGTAGTAATACATATTACTATAGTAATTAAATCTTAATATATGAGTTAGGTTTGAATATATTAATTAGGAAAACCGAGGGTTTTAGATATTGGCGGCTCTGCCGCAACTAAAACAATCAAATACAATTTTGATTTTGGACAAGAATGTTCGTTTGCCTTGGTTAAGATTTTTAGTACTTAGAAGCTGCGAATTGCGATCCGCTACACTTGTACTGGTTCTTGGGAAGAATGCAAGGCCGGTGACCTTAGCTTAGCTTCCTCTAAGCAAAGAGCTACGGCAGCCCCTGCACTTGGTAGCACTCGTAGTCAATATACGTCTGAGTCGTTTACGACTGATCCTCGGTGAGAATGTATATGGATAAGACGACAATATCCTTCGCATTTTCCTGTGATATACCACTTTATTGCCAAAAAAGTGTACGACAGGTATAATTGAAGAGTATGCCTTGTTTGCATTAGCTACTTGTACTTACCCATCCCTGTCTGCAACTCCAGTTAAAAGCTGTCGTTACCGAAAGACTTCCAGCTCGATTATATGTCGCATTCTCAGGGCCCTTTTGTCACGCAATAAGATGAGCTGTTCAACTCAACAGCACATCGGGGCATTGCTTAACAGAGTTTTTTTAAATGAATTTGTGGAAAGAGAGTGGATATCTAGTAGTTCAGAAGGTTGCATGGATTGTACGCGAGCTCGGGAAGTTGGAGCATACAAGCTGTAAACGCTTCATCGGACTGTTCTACACCGGTACATCTCTGTAGATTGTAAGAAGGATGCAATCAAGAGATAAATCGTGCACATGCAGTAGCTCATACATTCCATTCAAGCTCCGTTTAAGTAGTTGTGAGTTGCCGAAAGAGTAAAGTTTCCCCCATATGGATCTGTATGTGGTATTGACATCTTAATAGTCATCAAACGATGAGCTTGTAAGAAGGCCCCACAACTCAAGAATATACGATACTTTCGGAGAAACTTTGAGCTCGATCGTACGCTCTCCGCACAAACTTCGCAATTATAGTGAACAAACAATGTCATATTAAAATGGGCACTTTATCTATGAAGGCTGTCTAGGTTCACGGCAATGTCGTTGCACTTAAATAACATGTCCTTGCTTACGACCGAGTCTTGATAATAATGTATTCTGTGTAAGGATAAAAACAATCTGTTCGCCTACTTTCTTCGTGTGAAAATCAAGCTTGATTAGCTTCTGCCTAGTCCAGAGGGTATCGTAAAATTGGCGGCTAAAGGGCCGAAAGCGTAATCACTAGCGTGAAGAAAATCACCAGCTACATAATGCGCTGCTATTACACTTGCAGTAATGTCTAACCCATGCGACAATTGAAATTGAACTGGCTTTAGAAGCAGGTCGCTCACATTAAGTGCCAAACCCTTCGAGGTCAGGCACGGCTTAAAAGAAGGTACCAATCTAAATCTCTTATCAAGAGAGATAAGATCGCCATGACGTTGGTTACTCTCCAAACCGGAGCTACAGAGCGTCGCGATAGTAAGCTTCACGCTTGAAGGCCGAGCCCGAGAATGAGCGTTCATATGTGGTACCGTAGTACGGGATATGCTGGATCGACAGAGGTCGCGAGTACACACACAGCTCAACCAGGCATACCATATGCGATCGAAATACTTATCTAATCATCAAGGAAAGCGATAATAAGAGGGCTATGTCCAGGAGCTGAGAGCTCATATAGACGGGTTGTTGGCGAAAATTGCTCGATGGCAGCAAATGTATTCATCTTCACGAAGGGTCTACGTGCAAATGCGGCTCAATCCAGTACTTTACGTGTCCACCAAACCTCTTTGAGAATACGGTGAGTTTAGCTTTTATTTTTTAAAGTATAGCTTTCGAGGCGAAAGCTCCTGAAAGAGTTCGAGTGGTGGATGCTTTGAGTGTGACGACGACGATAAACCTCACCGAAGCTGCGGAGGAGCCAAATCCTCTCAGTTGCTGATCATAACCGTGGTATGTCATCTGTAGTATTTCAGGCATGTACACCTTGCGTGTCCCCTTTCTCTTTTGACTGAGTCCGACAGACCCGCGAGAAAATGTCGAGTATGAGTAATTGCAGATTTATCTACTGGTTAAGAACTTCTTCGTTTTTTGCCCCCTCGAGAACAGTGAGACTCAGCCCTTAGCGGGCAAATCCCTTTATGATAGGTAGAGCTCAATAGCTTAAAGCGTCGACTCGACCTAGCCCTGATTCAAATTTCAGTCTCAGCCAGGTATGGCATAGTCGAAATGCTTTGAGTCATGACTCGACCAGTTGTTAAATACTTTAAGCGTCATGTGAGTCATAAACCTACTTCTGCTAGGTAGGAGAAGCGCTCTCAAAGCAAGCTTTGGCGACGAAAAAGATTGATAGAATTGATAATCGAAGACGTCACCAAACTCCCCGAGCTGGGCTCTAGGGGGTAGCAAAACGATAGTAGAGATTGTATACCGCGGTCTCCGTAGTGTATCTCTGCTAAGACTGAATTTAGCGATGAAATACCACGGCCGCCAGACTGGATCCTAGCAGTACATTTGGATACGCTGGGTTAGAATATGATTACGAACTACACCTCTTTTTAGGAGTCGTGTAAGCCATATGTAGCACGTGCTGTAGGGTTTTATTCATTACACTCTAACCCCTCTCTACCCGGCCCGGGGGTGGAACCCTGGACCTCCCGGTTCTGAAGTGAGCAGCGAACCACTGCACCACAGGATCGGTAATACGCTGGGTTAGAGTAAACGCGACATACTGTCGCGGTCTGACTTGATACGAGCAAGATCCCGACTCCGGACTTTGCAACCTAAATTTTAATGCAACAATTATACTAAAATTGCGCAGAATCAAATGCAAAGAATAGCACATAACAAGTGGACCATAATGACAATCATTAGTTTTCGTCGAAGTTTAAACCTTACGTGGCAATATACTGTCCCTTTATCTTTGTCGGATCCTATGCCGGAACCACTCGAGCATGCAAGATGATCTAATTATTTTTTGCTCAAATTGCATGCCGAGAATGAATGCGTTTATCAATCTGGTGAAAAAGCAACCGAATGCTAGATGTAGTACGACTGCCATCGCTATTGGAGGCTGTAATGTCGACGCCAGGACTCACCTGCCATTCGCTTTTGCTTTCGCGGACTCAAGAGATTGGACACTTTTTGTCTAAATTATCGAAACACTTGCACATCCGACCAAAACTTCTCTACAAATTTCGCCACTACAAGAACAGCCAGAATATCTATATAAATTCGTCAGTAACGAGCTTTCATGAATATATAATCTGATCATGTATTGTTTTACTGTTCCAGTGCATCCCTGTTTAAAGAAATTGCGGTACAACTGGTCAATTTACACAATATGTGTAGGGCTCCCTGCATTCCTTATGCTCGTCCAACCAAACGCGAATCGCAAGCAGACAAAAACGAAAGAATGGTGGTTCTGGATTGCTGATGGCGACAAGTGTGTAGGGTTGTTTCTTCTTCGTCTCATTTAGTACCTCCTTAAGCATTCGCTCAGAAGTCTTGAGTCACTTTGAAATGTCTAATCTTCGCTTTGACTATAGATGAAAAAATGTATATGCACTTTCGAATTTACAGATTTATAGTGTCAGATACATGTCAAGGTGGAACAACTTTGTTTCTACCTCGAATCAAATACATCGGTTTTTAATGCTGACATTCATTCGACTTGCCCTCTTTGAGCCACCTATTGTGTGAGAAATGCTGGTAATAGACATTGTTTATGTAAAAGGGTGAGGAAATACTTTGCTGCTGCTACAGGGAATGCCATTAAGTCATCAGACAGTCGGGTCAATTTAAAGACATATTCACGAGCAACAAATCATATTTGATAATCATTATAAATAAAGAGCAGACTAAATCTGAAGAAAAGGATCTCAGGATTGTATAGGCTTGGATTATTTTATCAAATTTTCAACGCATAAATTGATTGCAGCATTTTTCTCCTTTTGCTGAAATGGAGTTTTTTCGCCGGTTGGGGGAGCGCCACGAGGCGCTTAAACTGAAAATTCATAGCACTAGAATCCCGCTATCCAAAAATGGGCAACGCATCATGGGGGTCGTGTACTTTACAACTCCTATTGTCGGTGGCTATTACATCATGAAGTGGGCAGAAGGACGTGCTAACGCTAACTTCCAGCGCGAGGTCAGCATAGTGTGGCGTTAATTTTCAAGCACAAATTGTTAGAGTTTATATATGTTTATTTTAGGAAATTGAGATTCGGCGAGCAGCAGGTAACAATGCAAGAAACGTAGCTCAGCAGAATCAGCAGCTCAAGAAACAACTGCAGCAAATGCAACAGTAACAAACCCGGAGTTTGAAGTGCAAGTCCGGTTATGTTGACAGCCTAGTCCTTACATTATAATCACATTGCGAATGATATAGAATTGATAAAAAAATATTGTGTTGGTAGCTGTCAATTATCAATTTGCTTACTAAATCAATAACTTTCTACACCATCTCTTTGAGGCTGGACCTTTTCCATTCGAGCTTTAAGGTTAATCAAAAACGTTAACAAAATTGTCAGTAATCACCAAATGAGATTGTCTTTAAATCAAGCGCGTAACGATAAAAAAACTTTTTAACGAACTAGCAGTTTTAAACGAAGACATTTGGTTGCTGATATCATACTAAAATGTTTACTCAGAGTATTAAACAATGTCTCCATTGAAAATAAAACGAACAGAGCAAATTCTGTAGTGGGGTACTAGGTAGATCGAGATTTATCCTCAGCCGAAAGCTGTCGCTCGTTTTTCATTTATGCAGCATAAAGACGTTGTAGCTTTTCCATCAAACAACGAATGTGGTATACGGCTGTGTTTGTGGCCCCACTATCGTTTCCTAGCACACCAAATACTTATACGAACATGCTACAGCAAAGTGTAAAAGCCTGCTGTAAAAGATTTCTTCGATGTACTAACCCGACTGAAACACGCCTTAGTAAAGTCAAAATGCACAAGAGATAGTCTTTTTTGGCCAGAAAAGAGCTGTTAAGGAGTATCTTTTGATGATTTACTGGCGAATTAAACAAATCGATCGAAAAAAAATTGTTTGAGAGTAGGAGTTTGAAAATCCGGACATTATTAGTAGAAGTGCCAGCCCCATTATGTCGCTCCCAAGTAGAAGTGCCAGCCCCATTATGTCGCTCCAAAGAAAAATATAGCTTTCAGCCGATTCATCAGCCGAAAAGACGTTAAATTATGTGTATAGCGGCTAACGAGTCTTTTGCCGCTTTCTCAGTATAAAAGCTGTGTGCAATTCTTTGGCTCACTAGTGACAATCTTGAGAGCTTCAAGAATACATAAGTTTAGCATTTAGAGCTCAAATGTGGAATAAGTGGCCGCTTAATCACAACTTGACATTCGGGTGCTCAGCGCAGCAGCGTTCTGCCGATTCATGAAGTTCCATTACGACTGCAGAGCTACAAAAGCACGGCATCTTTGTCTGTATCTGGACTAACGCACTATATATTTTTTGAAAAAAAATTCAAGCATTGGCTTGACCAAGAATGCTTTAAACGAGGCGATCACAAAGGAATGTGAGCTTATCTCTTCAAATCTCGTTCAAATGAGATAGATGTAACGTCGAATGCACGACAATGGCTGAAAATGAAGATGCGTTATTATAAGATGAAAATTCCTTAAAATAAAGTGATTTATACCTGTCATGTCTGATCGAAAAAGTTTAGTGTCATGACATGCGGTATCATGGCCAATGAGAACGACTTCAAGACTGAAGACCTATCTGTAGAAAAGTGCGTTCTTCAGCCGCCGCAGCTTACTAAACTTTTTCCAAACTGGGTATCAGCCAGTACGACATCGGAGCTGGAATTGTGGGGCGACAATCTGTCTGCCGTTTTCACAACATCATCGATCGACAACAAGGATCGACGGGTTCGACTATCGTTTGGCGGTACCCGCGAGATAAAAATTGTTGAAGGAATTCTCAGTGAAAATGGCAGAGTGAGATGTGCGATTCCTCAAGAGATCGGGCAGCTGTTGACGCTGGATAATGCGATATCTACTTCGAATATAACGGGCGGCTCACCTGTTCTTGTAGATGTGTGGCTTGGCGGGTTATATAACGCGGTAAGCTTAACGCATAAGATAAGTACAAGGTTTTAAGCGTATGAGATTGTACTTATCAAGGCTTGTGATGCATAGCTTACGGGGTATCCTCTACCGCTTTATGTGTATCAAAAGATACCCGTCATCCATGCTATTTCGCCGATTGATGGACCAACTTTTGGTGGTTTTTCGGTCATGGTGGACGGTTATGGATTCATCGACACTGGAAATCTCGTTGTTCGCTTTCAGCCATATACTGGTGAGGAGGGAGCAACGACCGAAGATGAAAATATAAGCGCATTTGAAAGCCAAAACGAATACGATAACGTCTGGAAGGAGGATGACTTGAGCGACAAGACTCAAACGATGGTTACCAAGTCAGAGATGGCTTACTTTGACGTGGTTGCAACCTATGTTACAACTGAGAGAATAAGTTGTACGGCTCCTTGTTTGCCACGAGAAGGACTTTACACAGTTCTTGTATCTCTAAATACCATCGAGTTCAGCCCGATCGGTACAAACAATCGGTTTCTGGCTTGGCGAGACTGGCGAAATGAAGAGCGAGCGCTCTCTTGCGTGCCTGTTTCTCAAGCTAAGACAGATGACACTACCACCTATGATGTTTTTGCTCACCCCGCCAAATGTTCCGCATCGGTGGAGAGAGATGAATTTGAACGGTCACGACAACAACCAAGATTCACGTTACCGAAAAAGATTACTCCGACTGCAACTTCAGGAGTCATTCTGACGCCGCAAACTGCTTGTAGCGTGGATTCTGCTTTCGATAACCACGTCGAAAATGTATTTGCCGAGAAAATACTTTTGGAAGATTTGTCCCGTCTTCAGTTGCCCTCTACCTCCTGGATGAATACCTATACTAGCGGCCGGCCACTCTTATCACTTCTTGAATCTTTATGCTGCGGTCGGGAGAGTCAGAATATTCTATATCGCCACCTGCATTTAGCCTTTCAGCTACAAACAGGCGAAAACAGCTTCACAGAAAAGTCGTCATTCCAGTTTCCCATTTTTGTAAATGCTATCCGCACGATTTTCCCCGATGCACTGATACGTGATCTTAAAGAATTATGGCATGCTTTTGAGCATCAAGCTGACGGATCGATGACATTCCAGCAGCTGCTTGTACGTCTAGAACGCTCCAATACGTCCGGTCGGCGATGCAAAAGCCCTGAACCAGGTCCAACGCATTATCATCCGCGATATAGCATCGTTTCCTCGCGTGAGCCAGCCGCCATTATACCACCCCGACCAACAGAATCGACGCACGTCGTGAGTCCTCCGTCGACTCTCTATATGGATTATGACGTTGCCGTCAAAACTATCAAGCCTCGGGCACCTCGGTCTGTGTTTTGCAAGCGAAAGTTTACAGCTTCGTGGTGCAATCCAATCGGCAAATGTACACCAGAGCCAACCCCGCCATGGTCACCGTCATCCCTGAAATCCATACGTAGTCAATCAAGTCATCGCACAAAAGCCAGCAAAGAGACGTCGAATGCCTCACATGTCAAGATCACTAATGATTTTCAAAGCAGTACTATCAAAGCCAGTATTGGTTATCGAGGCGTTAAAGCCAGCGAGCTGCCAGTTATTGGAAGACAAAATCAGGCTGATATTTTTTATCAAGAAGCAATAGGTAAGGAAGCCGCTTCTCGAATGCGTCACCGTCCAAGTGAAAATGGCATTAATTTTTCTCGCAGAACCAGAGAAACTCGAGTTGCGAAGTTATCTTCAACGACATCCTTCGCTCTTTCTGCAGACAAAACGAAGTTTCGACAGACTGGTGATCTGAGCGGACGCAATCCGTTCTATAACGACATTTCTCCATTCTATGCTAATTTCTTACAATCAGCAAAAGTCAATAAGTTTCTGGATTAGTGAAATGTTAAAAGAAAATAGGATGGTTTTCATCATAAAAGTTACTGTTACTTTGAACTAAATGGATGTTTCTCAGCTAGGCATGTGCAGTAGTCAACAAAGGATTGAATCAAGATGGCACCGAGATTGTCAGTGTCAAAATACATGAAGATATGAAATAAATCGTTGTCAGTCAAACTGTGTGACAGATCAAAAACAGAGTTTGGAGACGATACCAGTACGCCACATTCCACAAAAACTGCTTTAAAGTCACTCAGCTCGATATATCCCTCTCTCTCTTGCGAACAGTCTGATGTCAATGATCGTTTCGAACCATGCACCATCTTGTCAAGAAGACGACGAGCAAAATCTGGCTCGGTCTTAAAAAAGACAAGCAGTCTTTTCAAAGCTGACCGTTGATGCACACTTGCGCCATTTCGTTCGTCATGAATGCACCCAGGCTCGGTGGCCTCTCCGTGGCGCTTTGATGAATCCTTGAGCTCATTCGTAAATGTGCTTGACCGGCCAAAGACATTATTTCCATCAGAGACAGTGGTAGGAAAATTTAGCCCGACCCCAGTCGTCACTGCGTACGAGTATCGAGTGACGGCAGCTCCCAGATGGAGATCAAGTTTCATTCGATCAATGCTATCACTCTGCGCCTTGGTCAAATGTTGTACATTGTGGTCCACCTGACGCGTCATCGATCCATTTCGTCCTCGAGGAATGCGATCCCTAACCAACGCCGAAGTATGAAAAGGTATGAACGAACTCTTCGATACTGTAGTGCGTGTCGCTTCCTGATTTTCGCGCTCTTGTGCTTCCCGTTCTTTTGCACGCTGCTCGAAGTACAGACATCTTGCTGTTTCAGCTAAACTTTCGTTACGAAGAGAGGTTCGAGGTCCAGGTCCAGGATTTCTTGCGGAAAAGTCAGAATAATGTGTACTCGCTTGATAAGTTGTTTCAAACTGTGGTGGCTTAATCTCACTAGCATGGCTGTTGCAAGACAGTGCTGCAGGCATATCATGCAAGAGAACACGCTCGTACGTCGGTTCAATACGAGAAGTTCTCGGATCTGAATGATTGAAGGAAGGAAAATGAGTGCAAATTGTCAAGCAGGTTTGATATCTTCAGATGCTAAAGAAGCAGAAAAATACATCTATATAATCCTCACCTGGTTCGAATAGAGTAGTCGGCACTTTTCGACGGGTATAACCAGTTTTGTCACGAAGAGCATTTTCCTCGACCCAATTACCCTCAAGTACACCTTTATTATTTTTTACATTGTACGTCGTTATCATGGACATGTTGGAGAACCTGAAAATGAGTAGCTCGCGCTGGTTGTCCGTTTGATGTGCTAGTACGTTACATGTGCATTGACGCTTGTACGCTAATATAAGCTCGCACCGAAAGCACGGTTCACTCTTTCAAAAATAGATTCTAAGATCTGCCATGAAACATCATCGCATACGCCGCCACTCATTTGTGACTCTCATTGAGTGATGGCCACGCTACGCGCAATTCAGAGGCTGCACCTCTCGGATCCCTATGCTGAGCTTCCGGTAAAAAACCACAAATATGTCAAGAATTGCACGGAGCTTTATATGGCTAACAAGCACATCGCCAAAATTGTGAACTTTGAGGCATTTATAAACCTTGAAGTACTTTGGATAAATGGTAATCAGGTGTGTCATGACTACCTTGTGATTTTGTCGTCTAAAAGAGAAGCTCATACATTCTACCAGCTTCAGGAGCTTGATGGACTGGAAAACTGCTTTCGTCTTAAACAGCTTTACGCTCAAGAAAATTGCATTCGGTACCAAATGCCTATCTAATGCTATTTTGATTAATGAGCGGATTGTAAACCAAGTCACCTTTGTAGCTCTCTTGATGGATCGTCGCTGCCGCACCTTAAATTTTTACAAGAACTTCGATTACATGATAACAAGTTGAACGATCTGCAAGTCACTTTAAAAGTGTTAAGTCGATTATCAAACTTGCGAGACCTCGATTTGTTTGGCAATGCCATTGAAGAAGAGAAGAATTACCGTTTGCAAGTGATTCGAGCTATTCCATCACTGAATGTCTTAGATCGACACGTCATTACGCTTGAGGAGCGCACAAGAGCCTTGAGGTACATGAAAGTGGAATCTAAAGCTTAGTATTGCGTACTTACCTAGTCGCATCAGCCTGCAGCTTGAAGATGGAGCTGCTTTAAACGAAAAGAAGTGCAAGAAGGAGCTCTCCGGCTCAACATCTCAAGCACTATCAGGAACCGTCAGGATGCTTTTCAGAGAGGTGGAGGCTATCAAGAGGGAGCAGCAAGTACGTAGCCTGCTCTTGAAAGTCTCCAACTATTCTTTGGTCTGACGGCATTTCTTGGTATGTAAAAGAAAGCTTTAGAAAAACTCCAGCAAGAGTCGCTGGAGCTGAAATTAGTTCAGAATTCAGTAAATCCCAGGACGCCCTTCTTTAAACGAGCCGTCAATCATGATGACTCTGACAAAATTACTGGTTTGGATCATTATGAAGTTTCAGCACTTAAAAAGTACTTCGAGTCATATGAAGTGGTGAAAAATGGGTAACGTTTGTTGGGCTTTATGATGAGTGGATCAGTTAATCAATCTTGACAATTATATAGCGGCGTCGAATATCCTAAACTTGAGCATGTGTTTCTTTACCTTCGTACGCGCGGCTACGCAGTTTTCATCAACGGGCATCGGTCAGAAGGACGGGTGAGTGATAGGCCTCACCTTGAGAGTGTTCTGCCAGCAACCGGCACCATTCAATGGAATTCCTTTGTTCAGGTACACGCATATTGCAAACAATCATATTGTCGTTGACAATATCTTCATCCTTTCGATTTGTACAGCTATTCGTCTTAAAGCAGCTCCATTGCGAAATGCTCAGTCCTCACAAATTGCGCCAAATGGCCGAAATATGCTTTGATAAATGCGCTGTTCTGCAGGTGCGTCATATAATGTTTTAACTACTGTATTTCTATTTATTCTTACAATCACGATGGATAGCGTCACTTGCAATTCTGCGGTACCAACGAAGCCTCATCTGCGGTAGGTACCATGTAGCAAAAGTCCATTATTCGTTTTTAACGACCAACACATGCTGTGCTGCTCAGCAACTTATGAAAGAGATGCTTACATTATCACAACAAGGATATCGTCTGCAAGCATTGACTGACGGTGACCAGTCGTCCAACATTCCCAAATCATCTCGAGTGCTTAATGCAGATGTTTGCGGAACAACTTCATCCTTATCGAACGGAACGCGTTTTATTATAACAATACCTTTTCGCGAAAAAGTATCAACTTGTCCATTGATGGCTGTAAGAAGGGGTTGAGGACCGATTTCAGCAACTCGCCAATGAGAATCACATTAATGATGCACTGGTAGTGAAGTCAAAATTTCAGCACGAAATTTTGTAAGCATTAGTACTTTTAGATTTTCACAGCGACCCATTCTGCATTACTTGTGCAGGGCGGCGTATAACACTTGATCAAAACATCGCCACATTCGACAAAACCTGCACGCCGCCAGTATATTTTAGATTAGAAACACGGAAACATCGGTTTGATAAGACGTTAGCGAGCACCTTGTCCCATAATTTTACTCGATGAAATCTTCCAAATCAGCAAAGGCATCAGCGCCATTTTCTTCGTTCAAAAATGCGTCAATGATAGGATGACGGCTTCGCAAGCGCTTTCGTCGTTTTTTTACCATTGAGACAACACCAAGCTGACGCCGTCGACTTTTTGCTTTTCCAGAACAAAAACGTTTTTGGTTGGTCGGGGCAATACTTTCTTTCACAACCACCACGAGTGCTTTAAACCGCTGCTTTATCTCATCGCACACCGAAGGCTGAATTTAAACATCACAAATATTAGCAGTATATTTTGCAGGAGGGTGATCAGAAAAACGCACCTCTTTAAGCCACATTTGAACGGTATTTGGTACTTGTATAAAGAAAATATCCATCTTTAGCAAGGTTGCAGATACCTTCATCCAGTTTGATGAGTTTTGTGAGAATGCTATTCATTTTGGATTCAACCCTGGTCATTATACCCATTAAGCGTACCTTCATTTTGGTCCCAGAGTCTTGGACTGCATTTTTCAAATCATCAGCCCACGTCCGACTAGCCAGTGTTGACATCACCGAAAATTCATAAATCCAGCTTGTTGCATCACGTAAAAGATCGAGCTCAGGACCCTCACCCTTTCGCAAAAGTCCACATGCTTTGCCAATGCGCAGACCCAAGTCAAATATATGAAGCGCTTTCAACATCACTTTTCGGGTTTCCCAAGAGTGTTCTCGAAGCTTGCAAATGGACTTGTTGACTAACTTATGGATCCGAATGAAACTCATGACCTCTTGGCGACGGGGAAACGAGTAGATTGCGTTGCTGCTGGATTGATGATTGACAGCTCTAAGCAGTAAGATTTGAGAGTGTTCAATAACACTCAAGACGGCTAAAATTGCAATGCTTCGGCTAGCGTGAGTTTGAAGGTGTGGTACGCGATCACGGTTATAATGTGTGTTGGTTTGGGCATCAAAAGCACTCAACCCAGAGCTTAAATCTTTTGATCGAGTATATTCAATTGAGTCGGAAGAGTAACATGCGTCAGATTCAGACTCAGAATATACTCTTTCGAAGGAAAAGCTAGTACCAGAACCTTGTTTCAAGCGCTTTCGATAAATATTTTTTCCATTATTTTTCTTCTTTTGATAAGCTGGTCGGCGTTCAAAATCTAAGTTTTCTTTTATTGTTACACCACACGCATGCATGAATCCCTCGATCATAGTTTCCATGGCCACAAACGCCTGGATATGAAGCGCAAGCTGAGGAGAAAGACAAATATTTAGGAGCAGTCGAAGAAGTCGAGCGTTGTACACAACATTGTCACACAAGATCTCGTAGGCCAGGGTTGAGAGAGCAAAAGTGTCTGGACAAGACACATCCAAATCAGATGTTTGTCCGGCAAGATCCCCAAGTCGTCTGCTAAGCGACGCGCACGACACGCCAAGCTTTGCACATTTGTTTCTCCGAATGCATTCGCTAACATCATTCAGAAAAAAGCGCGATAAACGGCCGAATATGCTGCTATTTTCATCTGTTTGTATTGTGTGCCAATAACTCTGTTCACTCCACGATAATTTGCTCAGTACTTCCTCAACTTGAGTTTGTAACGAATGAAGGCTTAAGCCCCTGCTCATCACATCAAATATACGTCCAAATGCACCGCAAACGTGCTCCAGCATCTCTTCTCCTCCTTTTGAATCCAGCACCACAAACATTTTTGCGTTGCGGCCCGGAGCTACAAGATGTCGCGCAGAGGTCGGGAATTTGGACGAGATAGAATCTGCATATAACGAAAATTTCATCCCGCATATTGATTCATCTCTTTCACCATGTATTTCACTTACATAAATATCTATATCGTCAATATCAGGCAAGTTAGACTGTAACACAACATGTTCACGAAGACAGTTGTACACGCATAGCAGAATCTCGAGAATCTGCTTTAACTCACTAAAGCCATCATTATCACGAGTAAAAATATTTCCAAATGGGCCTTCATTCTCCGGCGCGCTACAACACGAATCCACGGTGAAAAGTGCAGCATCAAATGACAATCCGTGCGGTCTACCAGGTCGTAGCGATCTACCAGGTCGTAGCGATCTAGTCGCATGTGCGTCATGAAGAATGTTTTTAATAACAGTCAAAAGTTCTAGCTCGTGCTGTTGTAGCACTTTTGCAAGACAGTGGAGAGGAGCCCTGACATTTTCCTTCGAAAGATTAAATCCCTTTTCGTTCACGTGATGTAACGAAAATTTTTGTATCATTCGATGAAATGTAAACACGACTTCCATCAATGACCAAATCGAAATTTCGCTAGAACCAGGATTGGGCTCGCTAATACTTTGATCAATCAAATCATCACGAGTTTGTTCCCACAACAATACTTCTAACGCAATATTGCAAACTCCACAACCGATATAAGTACGAGCAACAAACTTCCACAACGTACTTCTTTCGTTAGACTTGCCGCATCCTAACTGAGTCAGAGCCCTGTCAGAATCTTGGCAAATCCAGTGGAAAAAGTATTTCGTGTTTGAAACCAAATCGATGAGCCATTGCTTGATGTCGCTACCTGCCTCTTCGGAATCCTCGATTGGTGAGCCGTCACGTAGGATTTTTGAGTGAGAGGCAGCTTTGTTAAACTGGATAAAGCATGATAGCAATTTCTGGGATGTTAATCCAACTGAAGCCGCACCATCCAGGCTGGTATTCTGCCGATAAAATTCTTCAAGAGAGCTGAATTGGAATCGCAGCAGACCCACATCATCGTCGTGCTCGTCCCTGTAATCCATGCCATCGCCGTATTTTGTGATCGCTACAGCTGTTGGCACTATAAACTTGCTCACCTGTAGGGACAGAAATCGGTGCAGCTCTTCCCAGGAGCTTTTTCGCAACGAAATCGCGGGCTTCTCTGGACCATTACCACTTCGCCGAAACATTTGTTCCAACCTGGCGAAAGACCACGCCTGAATATCACGGCATGCTGTCACGCTGGATTTAAGTGCCGAAATGATCTCTTCCTGCAATGACCACGTCAGATATCGATTGAATCGGACGTCAATATTATAGATGAGAAGGTGATGTACCAACACGTACTTCTTGCTGCGCATTAAAAGGCAGTCGATTATCCAACCACATACACCATATGTCTACAGCGAACTGTTGATGTGTCCGGTCGGTAGCTGACAGCAGCTTTCGTAAAAACACCATTAAAAAGTTGAACAAATCTGTTGGATACGAAAAATAGCACGAAAATAAGTTGACAATTCCGAATTCGTCAGCAAAAGGCGTACCTTTGTATAGTGTTACCAAACGCGAAACGATAAGAAAAAACTCGCGGGCAGTGTCAAACGAATGATTAAACTGCAAACTTTTCATAGGTACAGTTATATATTACACGAGTATGCTGAGGGGTAAGTAGTTACCTTAACCAATCTTGAATAGCATTGAGGTGTGGGAAAAGCTTGTCCGAATGCAAATCAAATAAATGCAAGAGAGTTTTTCCAGCAATCTAGAAGAAGACAGCAAATTGTTAAAATGACTGGAATTGTCACCCACCATGGGAGCGTACAGTACCTCTCTTTCCAACGGCTTTTGAGAACGTTCGAAGAGGTTATAAAGGACCTCAGCACGCGTCTCTGGTGCCTAATAAATGTCAGATGCACAATGTGACTAAATTGCAGGAAAAAGTAAATATCTGAGCATTCTACCGTCTCGAAAACGGTCTGCAATAAAAGCAAAGATAGCTTTAACTTTTGTGTTTGCAATTTGTCGTCGCCTTTGACGGAGTTGCTCTGCTCAATCCAGAAGAGAGCAATATCCATCAACAACAAGGATTTCCACTCTCGAGAGTACATTTGCTTGCCACCAAAAGTCAGCAGAAATTTAACTCTTTCTTGAACATGCTTCTCTACCGTTCGCGAAACGGGGTCGTTTAGAGTAGTTTTTGTATATGCCACAAAATCACTTTGAACAATCCACCATGCTATCTGTACAATGTCTGTGAACACGGATGCCTCGGTAGCGACTCGAGAAGATGAAGTTCGATGGTGAAGAATTGGTTTAGATGCTTGCAGCGAATGAAGCAAGAGGTAGAAATCACGCCAGTCTGGCTTGAGGTCCAGTAAGTCATTTTCAGGGTCCGTCATCTCAGCTTCCTCCGACACTTTACTACGTCGAATCGACTCGCACAAGAAAGAAATTATGCGTGGATACTGAGTAAAGCTCTACAATCGAATGACACATAGTAAAGTAAAGCATTACCGATTAATCTAATTTACTCACGCACCATTTGTAGATTAAATTCAGCCTCTTGTCGATGATGCACCGGCAGTTGTCGCAATAAGTAACGCGCAATGCCAACCCAATGATGATCACGCGTCACATTGGCCACCGACATGCACTCGCGAATTAAAGGGTTTATCGATTCAACTGCCATTTCAGGTGATGTCGTCACCATACGTGCTACATTTTCCTGCACAAGCGATTAGCATACTAGTCTTGGGGACTATCCAGACTCTTTACGTACCTGAAGTCTATGCCAGCTCTCTTGCGACATCAAGGCACTATCTTCCACCAGTACATCTAACAGACTTGGCACCGTCTGACAGTTCCACGGCAGCTCTAACAATCTTGCTAAGGATTCACTTGTCTCGACCTCATGATTGATCTCGTCGCTTAATCCCAGAAAGAAAGGCACAAGACCTAGCAACTGCGGTAAAACTTTCGCATTACTAGGCTTGGCATCTCTAATTACCTCCTCTAAATAGCTAAACACAATGTCTAGCACCACTTGAATTTCGTCCAGCAGCCTTTTCTTTCCAACAAAATGCTGAGTCGTTTTCACTTTGTGCTCTTGTAGCTCGTCGAGGGCGCTCGAGTAGCCTAGATTGATCTCCGTAAGCAGCTGCATGCTCTCCAGCTCGCTGGGACTACCCCGACGCAAAACCTGAATAATTCTTGAGGCAGCACGAAGCCTCGTGGTCTCACAATGCACAAGCAAGTGTACTAACGGTAGCCAATCATCCTGCACGAGAAATCCGCTTTTCTTCTTCCCTTTGGCTGCGCACTTAATATCTCGTGGTGTAATACCATCCAAAAGGCTGTTAAGCTGAGCAAAATAGAGCGAGCATTAGACGCAGAAAATTTGATAACGAAGAGCAAACACACGCACTTCATCAGCCTCAATGGAATTTAAATAATGGCGCACAGCATCCGCGTCCGTAGCGCTCGCACAGAGCAACTCGCGCGCGCTGCCGTGCTCCATGCGTGCGGAATTATTAAATAGTTTTTTTGTAAAATGTCATTTTTAGATCTCTATTAGAAGGCGAAGCTACAATTAACAAGATAAATGCTTGTTCATCATGCGATTTTTTAGCGCAGCTCGAACAGAAAAGTATTGCCGGTCCAGCGGCCCGCACTACTACTATATGAAGCCGCTAAGTAGGCGATCTACAGCAGCTTGCACGTTTCCAAAAGTTGCTTGTAATGCGCGAAGGTTCTGGTCCCGGTTGGAAAAGCCCATGTCATTCAATTGGGTTAGCTGTGACGCATAAATCTCCTCTGGGTTGCCGACAGGAGCAGCGGGTGTACTTGCTGCACCACCAAGCCCAGCAGGAAATTGACTAAACATGGCAAAAGGATTGGTTGCAGCCGGATTAGATCCTCCAGCAGTACCAGAACCAGCGTCAAGGTTCAGACCGTCAAATCTGTGAATGCAAGCAAATAGTTAAACACAATTGATTACTATGTGTGTCGGAAAGGGTCTTATACACACCCTGACATCAGCCCTGAAGCCCGCAGCTGATTCATAGCATTTTGCATCTGCATCATGGCCTGCAAATTTTCCGGGTTCATTGCCTGCCGCAAGAACTCAGGGTTCGACATCATTTGCCGCATCTGTGGGTTAGCATTCATCATAGCTGCCATCTGCGGGTTCATCACCTCCATTTGTGATATAAATTGCTCTGGATTACTCGACACTTGGTTCAAAGCTGCTTGAAAAACAGGGTTCTGCGTCATCTGCGCCATAACTTCCGGACCTATATTGCCCAAGCCACCAGGACCAACAGCATTCCACGGATTTGAGACAGCACCAGTAATGCCATTTGATGCAGCACCAGAAGAATGAGCCCACGGATTAGTAGCACCAGTAGATGCCGACGAGGTAGAACTTGAGGTCTGTGGCGGCGTCGTGCTTGCAGCAGAGCTGCCGCCAGCAACACCAGGCATAGTAAATGCTGGACCACGAGGCGCTGGAGTACCACTAGCTGCGGCATTCATCAACGGTTCCTGCACATCGTGATACATACGCCGCAAGGCATTGAAACCTTCCGGGTGGCTCTCAATGTTCCGTAATGCAGTATCTTGATTCCGCATCATCTCACGCATTGCCGCGGGGTTCCGCACGGCCTCCACACTCTGTCTAAGCAACTCAGGGTCGTTCATGATGTGACTGAATTGTGGGTTTTGCTCCATTAGCTGCTGCATGGCCGGATTGCTCTGCATGATATTGCGCATAATGTCTGGGTTGCTTAAAATGTTTTGCATCATAGGCGAGTCCATCATTTGCCGAACGATTTCCGGATTTTCCATCATTTGCTGCTGCATTTGTTGCATGTTCGGTGCAGTCAGTAGGCTGCCAAATATATTGCCGTGGTTTGCAGCTCCTGCGTCAGTTCCAGAAAAGAACGGAAAACCTAATGGGTTGGCCGCTGCTGCAGGTGCAGCGACTGGGGTGGGTGTGGCAGCCGGAGCGGAACCTGAGTTAGTCGAACTGGAAGTAGTCGTGTCAGTTGCTGGTTTCGCTGGTCTACCTGAACCCTTGACGAAGTAAATAGTATCATTCGCCTGGATGCCTGCCACACAGCACATCTATCAATCGCTGATACACATATTAACATCCAGAAATATATTTCACGAACCATAACTTTCAAGTGTTTGATCGTCCTTAAGCACTTTGCCTTTGTAGATGAGGCGTTGCAGCGCAACAGGCACATCAGTGAGGGTCACAAGCGCCTCCTTGCAATTTAACACGGAGCTGTTGAGTGCCACCTCTACTGAAAACGTCTTCCCTGACGTCGTCTTGACGTGCAGATTTACCATTTTGTGATTCTTGAGTCGTGACAATTGCAATTGCTAAGCGTCAAGTAACGGGCGTCTCCCTCTCTGTTAGTTTATGCCGAGCTTCTCGATGGCCGCAAATATGATATCGAGGTTTAAAGGTGTTAAAATAATGTGAATTTTAATTTGGGTAGCAGCTCTGCTGGAGAAAGCGATGCCGGAGGAAGTGAAGCAAATGGCAACTAAAAGACTTAATCTTGTGGCAATTGAGGAAATGAAGCCAATACTTGTTGAAAATTCAAAGCCCGTGCCGATTGAGAATTTAGAGTTGCCAATAGCAAAGCGCATCAAAGGCGACACGATGGGGCGTTCTTGTCCATTCTGCAGCAACAAGAAGCAAGTTGCAGCCAGCTGCTCGAATCAGTCTTGTAAGAAGTGTTGTCTTGCGCGTGAGAAAATATGTCCAACCCATCCTAAAGGTCATGACCAACCATCGCTATTTTGCTGTTAATTGTGTTGACATATTATGTTAATCATGATAGAGGTGGAGAAAAGTGAGGCCATGATTACTGAGTTCAAGAAACGCGTTCTGAGAAATGAGTTTCGCGAGCCTAATTTCCACTGTATGATAGCAATTTCTATTTCATATGTTGTATTGACCAGTTTTGATTTCTTTCGATTGACTGTGGTTCAACTGTGGTGATAGATTACGGCGAGACCGTGACAATTTTTTGTGTGCGGGACTTTTTTCAGAGCAAAAAGCTAAGTCAGGGTGTGCTTAACGATCAAGGGCGTGCAGAACGCGTTAGTGGTAGCACGTGCAGTCGTCGCAAGAAGAGAAAGGCTGTCAATCCCGAGATTAAGAAGCTAATTGCGTCCGCACTAGGCAAAATCGACTTCAAAAGCAATAATTCTGACGCACTTAAAAGGAATGCAGTCACTGATACAAATTAGATGGGTTTTGTGCTGGTATTAACTATCATTTCATCCAGCACGGCACGTCATTTGCTGCGTCAATCTCTGGCACAGCAATTTTGTTGACTAGAGAAGGCAAATTTTTTGCTGAATAGCTCACTGACACCTTCCGATTCTTTAAAAAAACAACTTCTTCAAGGAGCTCTTTGATGCGAAATTGGGTGTCGCGACCGAATTTGCGCGCACTTTCCAGCTCGGAGGTAACACTCTCCAATTTTTGCTCTCGGACGGCGTTGGTACCTTCAAGAATTGCTAGTCGTGTTTGTAAGTGCTGTATCTGCGCAGCCATTCGATCTTTGCGTGCTTTCAACTCAGAATTTTCACTCTGCAGAGCTGTTAGCTGCTGTGCTAGCTGTTTCTCGCCTTGTGAAAGCCTTTTGTGCTTTTTCTCCATGTCAGTTGCCTTTGAGTTAGCAACTTTAAGAATCTATCAATCGCTCAAAATCACCATCAACATTTGACAGAATATTCTCAAAACTGTATTGATTTCAAACCTTCATTGATCTTCTCTGCTTGTCTTCCAAAGCAACCTTCTCGATTTTGATCTTCTTCGCCAAAGTTTCAGCATCCATGCGCTTCTGCTGCTCCTGTACCAAAGCCTTTTCGAGATGTGACCGTCAGAACTAAACAGCTTGCTGTTTTGTGCCATATATTCGCACCTCTTGTAAATGCTGGTAGCTGCCTTTCAATTGTTGAAGCTCGCCTTCAATTCTAGAATTGTTAAATTCAAGCTGGTTCACCTGCAACGTTGTTAAGTTAAAAGCTACTTGCACTGACAGGTAATCGTCTTCTAAATGAACCAACCAGGTTGCTAAGAGATTCCTCTTTCTGCAATCCTATGTGTAGTTTGTTTCGTAAATCGATTCGGTCGTTTATACTTTGTTGTTGTTCTTTTTGTAGCTCCTCTAAAATGTGGTGGGTGGCTTTCTTATCATTTTTGGCTTGTGCTTCGCATTCCTGGAGTAGTCTCTTATGCTCAAGTGCAGCAGTATGGTGTGCTTTGCTATCTTTTTGATGCTACAACAAGGACGCAAGATCGTTAAAGTGTGTGACACCAACTCACTCTCAGTCTCCTACTTGTTGGCATTGGGTCTGCAATATTTGTACTTGTCGTTGCAGCTCTTGGTTTCTCAAAGTCAACTGATCAAAAGCTAGATCACGCTCTTTCTGATGGTTCTGTTGTTGTAGATCACGTCCTGCTGATTGCGCATCAATTACATTCTGTTTGCACCGCAGCATCTCTACCTCTTTCTCCTTGTTGGCTAGTTTAATCATAAGCATTTTCACACATCTCTCCTGAACCCGTCGCTCCTCGTCCTGTATAAACGAGCTAGATGATTGATTACCTCGACTCGACTCGCATCGAAAATCCTAGACAAGGTGATTATCACCAAAAGCTGCAAGTTAATTACATGATAGGCACAACGTACACGAAAGCTATGTTTGCATTTGATCGAGGGCAATTTTTGAGGCTTTTTTGGCGAGTTTCTTTCGTAAACTTCGTTGCACATTGCGTGATGAGGCACCTTTCGAGACATTTTCGAAATGAATGACTCTAGACAATATTACCGATAAAGACGAAAATACTTGGCGCGTTTCGATAGTCTGACTCTGCAAGGTGTCACCTTATTAACATTTAAGCTCTTAAACTGATCAGCATGAATGCACGAGCGCAGAGTGAACATCTTTTCAATTTACAGATGCAAGGAGACAAGTATGCGAGATTAGTGGTCGAGCAGAAGCATCGACTGCGTCAACTTGACGATCACTCGAAAAAAATTCACGACGAAATTAAAGAATTGCGATTGAAGCGTAGTGAATGTGATCAACGGGGTGGTGGTGTGAATGCAGTCCGTACTCGAATGGCCGATGAGCAGCGAGAGCTCATTAAGCTTGAAAATCGACTCTCAGCATGCAAGATTCGCGAGAGCAAGATGATCGCGTTCAATACTGATCTTCGGAATCAAGTCGACCAGTTGCGTGCTAACAGGGTGTTAAGTCAGACTGTGTTTGAGAAGAATCAACGTCGTCTACGCGAAATTCACAGTAGTATGCAAGAGACTTTTCGCCAATCAACCCAAATTGTAGCTGAGCGTGACCGGGTGAGTGCACTCGAATTAGCGGAAATTTGGGCGCGTTTAGCTGACATGCATACGCTCTCCACAGATTCTGTCGTTAGCAAACTCGTTGTCGGGTCAAAATTTGGGTGAGCAAGAAGCTTTCGATCATGTTTATCAAAGTCTCGCAGCGATTATCAAACGAGAGAAAGAGAGTGCGGAGTTATACCGAAAGCAAATGCTTGAACAGGATCCGATGGACCTCTCTGATACCTTTGTTCGAGGCAATATGAAAATTGAGGAGGAGCAGCAACTGAAGAGAACTATACAAAAGCTTGACTCAATGGTACGTTATGCTTCTATGAGACAGAAGAATTTCTATTGACTTAGCTTATAGATGTTACGAGACAAACAAAATATTGCAACCATTAACGAGAAGCTGCAAGAGTTTGAGACGACATTTGCAGCACTACAGCAAGAATTGAAAGTAGACAACTATCACGAAATGGTTGACGTGTATACGAAAAAAGAGGAGGAAAACTTTTCTCTGTTTTGCTATGTTCAAAGCATAAATAATGAAGCCGAGCAGCTTGAGGATGAGAAAATGGCGCTAGAACAGGAGATTCAAAAGTCAATAGTGTTTTACTTTTGTTTCAATATATGAAATCCTGACAGTTTAACGACTGCATGTGTGATTTTAGACTCAAGAGCGAGGTGCGAGACGGCAAAGCTAACGCAAAGTTGCGCATGGTCGACGATCTTGTTGCAACACGCCAAAAGTACGGCCCTGGTCGAATCATGAGCGACGTCGCTGACAAATATGTCTGTATCATACATCGTATAGTATCTTGGAGGAAAATGCGGCTGTTGAACAACTTCGAGCTAAGGCTACACGTAAGTTCCAGCCGCTCGCACGAATTGTTGATAGACTGTACAACGCGCTTGGATGCAACGACGTCCCGCCGGTATCTACTCTCTATGTGATTTGCACAGCAATTTCAAGCATGGAAGGATTCACGCTTTGATCGTTTGCCTGCAGCCTGTTCCCAGTGCAGAATGTGATGTTGATACCTCGAAGCGTGCGAGAAAGCAGTCCGAGGACCAGCTTGCAATTAATGTACAGCTTTGTGTATTCTTGTCTGTTGCATGTACCTCTCAACTTTATCTAATCGATGTCTGAACTTAGACGCGTATTAATTCTATGAATGACCTCCTGGCTGCACAAGGGATAACTGAGGGAAACATATTACAGTTTTTAGCGGTCAGTCTCGATACTTTGAGATTAGCTATAATCATGGTCTCTCTTGTCATATTCGTTGTACCGAACAGATCATTGAGCTGCGGAGCAGCGAACTTCTTGAGCGACTTTTGCGTCGCGTACAACACATGAGCCCTGCCGAAACTCAACACCTTTTATTCGGAGCAAATCTACGTCCGAGTGATCCTGTGCGGTCTGCTAATGCCGTTAAAGCAGTATTTCCTGACTATTTCGAAAGCTTAGCGGGTGGCACCGAAAATGACGAATTGAGCTCTTCATCGGCGTTAAGCTCCAAAATAGCGATTGTAGGAAAAGGCGATGATTTCTGTATCGACAGACAGCTTCTGAGAGATTTTTCAATTGCCGAGGACGAACTAGAAAGTCTAAGAAACGAAGACGAAATAGGTGATCGGCCATTGACTAGGCTTGAGCTGCAAAAACAAGCTGCTAAAGGTTTTGCAAATTTACAGATCAGCCCGAAGTTACAGCCGAATCGTGCACAGCTCGTGGCGTCCAAGAAAAAAAATGGATAATTGGTGCAATTCGAAGTCAAGTATACTCGATTAAGTGGCATCAATACCTGATTTGAATGAACATCAAAAGCCTTCCATACACCATTCGACTACATTATCGGCTTTTAAATTAGTTAGTCAAGCACCTCAGCAATCCCAATCCGGGTCAACTACGATATTATATAGCTTAACTGTTTTGTACGAATCAAATTTGCCAGCGTTTGCGACCACGATGCGCTATCGAAAAAGTGCAGCCAAGATAAATGCATGACTTGAGAACAGACGTCACGCTTTCGCGCGTGAGACTTTTATCAGTTTCATCGAGTAGCATGTACGATTTAAGCGACGGATGCGTCTTTGAAACTTCATCGAACTCAACACCATAGCACCAGCCGTTAGATGCGTACTCTGTCGCCCACACCTCGTGCGAATTTTCAGCAAGAAGATCGATAAGCATCATAATTTCCCACGACAAATGAACGAGATTTGATGACAAAGGGATATCTCGTGATTTTTCCTTCACCGGCCGGCGGTAGGCAACTTCTACTCCGAGCGCAACAATGCACTTGATAACCTCATCGACTGATGAAAAATTGCGTGCTTGCGCAATTTCGTCCAATGCTCGCATGGGCAACATATAAGGATGCACTAATTTTGCATCATCTCGAACGCTACCATACTTCCACCCTTTTGATGCTTTATTGTGGCACCAATCGTAGTGCATCTGTGCCGTAACGAGTTCTCGATGGGGTTCGAACCACTCTGGAAGTTTTGTCTGAGATGTGTCAATTGGAGTAGGTTTGTAGTTTTCATTTAAAGAAACATTAGCGTCCACATCGATGGTCAGATCATTAAGCGTGTCGTGACGTACAGCAGCTGCTACCTTAAGAAAATTAGTCTGGTGAATTGATACAGCGCCTCCAAGCTCATGATCTTCAACCAGCAAAGAGGGGGATAATTTTAAAGCATTTGATTGCTTCAGTAAATTCTTTGAGTTGATGTTGCGGTGTGTCCACCTGTGCTGCAATATACCGTCCAACGTCATACGTTTCTCCGGATCCTTTTCCAGAATTCCTCTAAGCAAATCTTTTGCGTCATTATCCTCGCAAGGAGGGAAACTGAGAGGGTCATTTTCAATCTTATCAAAGAGTTCGCTTATATCTCTTGAATAAAATGGAAGCGAGCCGAATAACAAAGCGTACATGGTTACTCCAATAGCCCAAATGTCTGCCTTGAAGGCACAAAAGGCATCGCCTTTAAGCGATTCGGGAGGTAAGAATTGAAATGTTCCTTTTGTTGACTTAATCATTCCTTTGAGATGCTTCGAACTCTCATCCGCTCCACTCATTGATGTATTCAGCAGAGGTTGGGACATACCGTGATCAAGATTCCACAATTCAATTGCTCCCAAATCTTCTTCGTCTTGAAGCTCACCGTTCTCCTCTTTAAAATACCGAGCAACTCCAAGATCACCCAACTTGCATAAGGTGTGCATTTCATTCGCCATGAGGTTTTCGGGTTTAATGTCGCGGTGAGCTAAGTTATTTAAATGAAGGCCTTGAATGGCAACCACAAGGTTAGTCACGTATAAACGCACAGTGCTTTCACTTAGCAAACATGTGTTGCCACTAGCCGTACTCTTAGCTCGAGAGCTGACATAGCACTTTCGAGAATCGTCCCACTCGGCAACGGCGCCACCTCCCATGTACTCCATAACCAAATAGTATTCTTTATGTTCCTTGTCAAGGATAACATCGTGGAGGCGGATGATATAAGGAAGATTGCTAGCCTTTTTTAACAAAGCCACTTCTCGACGAACCTCGTCAGGAATCGCGTTCGTTTCGCTAATTCGAGCGGACAATCGTCTATTAGTAACAACAGGAATTGCTCGACGATTTGGCAAAGCTTTGCTCTTCTGCGAAACAAATTTTTTTATGGCATAAGGTTTACCTTGCCATGTATAGAGGGAGACAATGCCTGAGGCACCACGCCCAAGTTCTCGTACCAATGAGAACTTGCCTGCAAGCAACTCACGATCGGCCAATCGAGCAGCAACTCCCATAGCAAATCCACTTGCGCTTTTATGAATAGCCGTCAACCATACGTCTTGCTCTTTCAGCGACTTGGTGCGAAAAACAATTTTTGCACCATTTTGCGTAAGAATTTCAAAGCCAATAAATGAAAGTGCGTCACTGTTTGGATTCTTGTCACTGTTTAAATGAGCTGAATGCACTTCCGTCAGTGGTCTTGCATCGGCGATAAGTACATCACCACCTAATATGCTACCGTGCGAGCCTGCTGGTTGGTGGTCTATTATATTGCACTTGACAAGTGTCAATTTATGTTCATCAAGGAGAAACCAGCGCTCTTTCCATTGCTCATTTTTGCTTTGATACTGCAGCAATCCTTGACAAGTTGAGCGGCTAGAGTTCTCCAGAAGCCTAAAGCATCCAACAGTTTGATCTTGTGCGACCATGTTTCTTAATCAGGAGTGGACATAGTTCTGTGCAAGCCTTTCTTCTGCGCTTTTCGTCCTCGCATCCTGTCCTCAATAGAAATTAAGGACGATCAGTGCTAAATTTAAGTATCAAATTCTCAAGGAGTATGAATGTATGAATTATTACATCAATTCCCACTGGCTATGGCTACCTATCCTGCTCGCTACGTAATCGCACAATGCCTTTTCGAACAAGATATTCTTTCAATCGACGGACTTGACGCAGATCAACAATTGCTTCTAATCCGTTGCTACGCCGAATCGTTAGCTCATTAAGCCTTTGTCTACAAGCAACTACTTTGACAATTTCACCTTCGACAAGAATTCCTTTTCCCTTGTCGGGGCAGTACCAAACCATGTCACCAGGACGAAGTGTTTCTTTTCTCTTTAAGCAGCCTGGCCACGTCAGCACAATGGCGTGTAACCGGCCAAAATACCCACGGCGCTTGCCACGGTGAACGAATTTGGAATAACCTGCAGCTACCTGCAACGGTAGATTGATCCCAGAAAGCCCCGATACAGGTGAAAAGTCTTTTTCGGACACAAGGAGCAATGCTGCGGATACTGGTGAGTCTGTTGACAGATCCTCCTCATTTTCTTTTTTTTCCCCTTCACCATTTTGAAAAATGGCATCATCAGTTTCGCTGTCAACGTGGCCTTCTTCTTGAGCACGCGCCTTTTGTAAAGATGCGTCAGTCGATATTATACTTTGGTCCTAATGCAATTATTATAAACAGATTTGCATAACATTTAGTACTGCTAGGTGAAAAGATAGTTCTCACCTTTCGAGTGCTATTAAAATTGTCGGTCCTCACCATTGAATCTTCATCATCCGAGACAATCCCATCAAGCTGATGTAAATTTCTCTTCGATCCTAGCTAATCAGCACGAACATCATCTTAGAATAAATTTTTGAACGTACAATTTTTCTCTGATATGACCTTACAATTCTCAAGAAAATTGACGAGGTCGCCAACGTCACGATACCTGACTACTGCAACAGCGTTGGTTAAGAAATGCAAATAAAGAGGCACAGATCATACCGACGGGGTATTCGATTGATTGGCCACTTCCTTATTTGACTTGATCAAAGCATTCGAGCTCGACGAAATGAGAAATTCATCATCTTCAATGAAAGCTTCCGCGCTATTTTTTGCTGCTTCGGTGGTCGACAGAGTTTGGCTATCCTCTTCTGCTATCGTACTTGACATTTTTCGCTGCCCCGTGTAAGACTCAAGTTTTTCCTGCCATATCTTCAGCACTAGGGCATATAAAGACGACCGAAACGAATAAAGAGACTTGCACAGACCTGCTGCAATCGGTCGATGTCCTCAATTGAGAAATTTTCATTTAATTCGCGATAGGAACGACAGACACGCTGCATCACACGCGCATAAAATTCCTCTAATGTCGTTTCGCTGCTCATGATACTTTGCGAATTTAATGTTCATTTTCCTAAAGTACGATACAAGTTTGACAATTGAAAGAGAAAAATGATAATTGATTGGCGACTAAAGCCATTTGTTTTTAGATTCAACAAGCTAGCATTATGAGGCGGAACATTTACGTTTTTCATCTGCTTACTGGCGAAAGCTCTCCGACACGTCACGCTTGTCGCGTTTGCGCTGCATGAATAAACCAAAATCATTTAAACTTATATAAGTTCCCTAATAACATTAGTACGTACGCGTTCATCGGAGGCCAGAACAAAGTAGAGGCCGAAGGGAACGAGGCCCCAGACCGTTAAAGACGTGAAGAAAGAATTATCCATTTTAAAACGCTTCTCGGAGTCACCACGCCAGTTATTCCAGTTCTAATAAGTTTCATAAAAATAATCAGCATTGACATCAAAGCAGACTAGTGATGCACGTTGAAGCCATCGAACGCATGAAAAGGATCAATAAGTTTAACCTCAATGTGCTTGTTTTTCGAAACCGATCCACCGTGACGGCGCTGATTTTGAAGCCTCACAAGAATTTGCTTTTGGGGCGGCGTTCGGCGCAGAGATTTAATCAGCATGGTTTCAAAGTGACAAATGACCTCTATGACAGCATTGGCCAAAATGATTTTATAGCCTGACCAATCACATTAAGCATCTTTATGTGAAAAGGTATTAATATATGTTTTTGATTTAGAATAGACACGTTAAGTAATTCTGAGTGTGCCGCTTCAGTTTCCACATATTTTATTTACCTCAATTTCCAAGAATGAGCCTAAAAGTTTTGAGCAAGAAGGTGGCCTCTCACGCAGTAGCGCCGGCGCTTGCGCGCGCCGTCAGTTCCGAGAGCTACTCGGCCGCTCAGGCGGCCTTAGGTCGCCCTGTTTCTCCGCATGTCGAGATTTACAAATTTCCTGTAACGGCTATCTCGTCAATTGCGAATCGCTTTGCAGGCATGGGAATGTCGTTTGCTTTCGTGGGTGGTAGCGCATTGGGATTTATTGGAGCCGATGTTCCAGCACTTATCTACGCCGCACAAGACACCATCCCGTTTTTTGCACCAATGTCCAAGGCACTTGTTGCTTTTCCTGTCAGCTACCACACGCTCTGTGGAGTGCGCCACAGCCTTTGGACATATAAGCCTGAGCTAATTAATAATGCGGATGGACCAAAAAGCTGCTATGCTATTTTTGCCGCTTCGGGCCTCATCACTCTGGGCGCTGCAGCCTACACCATTAAGTCGCCGGAAGAGAAGAAGATGGACAAGTAGCTGCTGTTTCAAGCAGCTCGTTGTCGCGTATGGATTGACTTGACATTATATAGGCGGCTTAGAAGTCAGCAAAGAGATAGCTGTAGTCTGCTTATCGAAAGAATGATAAATGTAAACATGACTGCTGCCGTGTGATACTATAGTAAACTCGCTGATTTCTCGACGGAGGGCACACGCAAGTCTTACATTATAAAGTGGATGCTCCCGAGCACATATCCACAGTTTGCCGAGGGTAAATCAAATTCGAACATCTTCCTTCTATATTTTCGCCTTCACATTTCCTACAAAGCCTCGCCACGAAAATGGCTACCCTTCAGAAAGGATTTATGCATTTTTGTCATCAGATAATCAATCGATTTGTTAGCAAGATGAGCGCGCAATGGAAAGCAACGCTTTATCAGGGTATTGCACGTCACACTTACAGAAACAATAGCCATTAAATTGCCCGGCTTCACAACTATTGCAACTCGCTGGTGCGGCACGATTAAAGCAAGTCGAGAAACTGTTCGCAAAGCATCAAGAGATCGAACAATATCGTGTGGAGCGATAAAAGTTTTATGAGCGCACACATATGTATGTAGCTATTCCAGTTATAGTGGTCTTTCATTACCGCAAAGTAGACAGCATTTCACCTACAGCATGCAAGATTTTTAGTGATCTGCCCAAATAGTACATGTACAAATTTACGCAATTCACAGTTGAAAAACACCGATATGAAGTAGCTTCAACCAGATGGACAAATTTTCTTAGAAACTAAATTATATTTTCCAAAAATGCGTGTGAGCAATAGTTGACATCGCTGGCAGGGCTCCATCTTAAATCCGCTCTGACCCCGCGAGTGACTTAGCCAGATTGACCATTTTGCATAAACCGCAGCCGCGTACACTTCGGTACATCCAACCTCCGCTGCAAGGTTGCCGAACGTATCAACATTGTCAGTCCAGAACGTCACAGACGTAATCAGCATATACGCTTTGGACACCTGTTGGTTGGCTAGGGAGAGCGATAAACGATCCTGGACCAAGCTTTATAAAAGGCAGAAACTACACTACCAGTGCTGTAATGAAGATGAATGTCATCGACGTCGAAATGCATAGCAAAAGTTGCGTTTCAGACGAGGAGCTGTTCAAGCTGCTCTCGAATCTATGACGACGGCTCAAAGAGCACCAGGAACACCATTAGATTTTGAGTTATGTCAGTTAGGCCACAAATCCATCCTTAGAGCCCATGTTGAGAAATTCACAGGTTCTTATAGCAATGTATGTTGGTTGGAATCGCCGCTTAATTGGTCCGCCATTCTTCCAAAGTTAAGTCGTGGATTTACAACAATATTGTGTGGCTTTAAAAATAGTAATGAAATCCTTCAAATTTTGCGCAGACTATCACTCATTGCCCAGATTGTTAGCCAGTCACTGACAAGGGGTTTTATATACTTGTCGCATATTGCATAGAAGTGGTCAGGTCGGAAGTTATAAATCGAGAAATTGTAACGGGGTTACACGAAGGCCGCACGATGTGCATGGTGTGACCACACACCCAAAGAAGAATATGGGTAGCCAGTAGTTATGCATGTATTTAGATTTTATTATACATATTTAGTATATTTAGGAAAATCTAAACTTTTAATATTAGGATAAAAAGATAAATAAAAACCAGTTTGGAATGTAAAACGAAGAGTCGATTAGCCTCGGGAAGGCAATAATTACTCTTGGAGTAAGTGGATTGCGATCCGCTAACTCAAACTTGGTTCTCGTAAAGAACGAGAGGTCGGTGACCTAAGGTACGCTTCCTCAAGCGTTTGCTACGGTAGCCCGCTGTACTTGGTAGCACTTGTAGTCAATCTACACCTGAGTCGTTTAGACTGATCTTCTGTGAGGATCGAGAAATTTTTCTCTTTGCCCCAGGGCATGCAGGACGGGCTTAAAAAGCTGACGTCTTGCTTGGCCTTGAGGGCGTGCAACATCTTGTAGCACAAGGATCCGAGGCAATCGGTGCGCGTCTAGAGGCGTTTTCGAAACAACGCGCTGCTAAATCACCTGCAGCAGAAGATGTCTGCATCGTTTGCGTCTATGACGCCACCGTCACCGACGGATGACTTCTCCCGACCTAAGCCGCTCATGGTCAGCGTCAAGTTCTTTGAGGGGAAGGATTGAGAGAATCTCCTGCTCTGGGTGAGAGAGGTCGAAATGGCCATCGCATACGCCATGCAACAGACCGAGCAGCAGCGCGTGGCGCTAGCCATCTCAAGCTCGGTGGTCGAGCGCGAGAATGGAACTGACGTGTGGCACTTCGGTCGGAGCTGCGTTTCCCTCCTGGGAGGAGCTGAATATGCAGCTCTCCCGAGTTTTCTCGCCACCTAATCAGGGGTATCGCGTGCGATCGCGTTTTCATTGCCACCCGACATGGCAACAAGGAATTGGTGGGCTTTGTCCAAGAGTTGCGAACTCTCATTGCCGGGATTGCAGCAGATCCTCTCGCGGAGGCGGTCACAGTGACTGTGTTTC